GACCGACTGGAGACTGAGTTTGCCAAATTCATGGCAATGCTGAAGCAGGTAAACATTAGCATGCCCTTCGTGGAGGCATTATCAAAGATTGCCAAGTATGCCAAGTTCATGAAGGATCTCCTCACCAACAAGAGGAAGCTTGGGGAGTTTTCAACGGTGATGCTCAACGAGGAGTGTTCTGCCATCCTGCAGAACAAACTACCGGAGAAGCGAAAAGACCCAGAGAGTTTCACTATCCCTTGCATGATTGGTAGTTTGCATGTAGGGAAGTCCTTGGAGGATTTAGGCGCTAGCATAAATGTCATGCCATATAAACTGTTTAAAAAGCTAGGCCTAGGTGAACCCAGTGATACTAGGATGAGCATCCAGCTTGCTGATAGATTCATTGTGCATCCTAGGGGTATAGCAGAGGACTTGATAGTCGCAGTAGGGCCATTTTCATATCCCGTTGATTTTGTGATTCTGGACATAAATGAGGATGTTGATGTGCCTTTGATACTGGGCAGACCTTTTCTCGCCACCGCCAAGGCGCTTATTGATGTTAATGATGGAAAACTGATTTTGAGAGGTGGGGGTGAACAAATCACCTTCTCTGTTTTTGAGAGGTGGAGCTGGACGAGGCTGTGATCGAGGGGCGAGAGATACCATTCAAGCCGATCCCCATCTAGCCCCGGCTTGCTACATCATTGGAGGAGCCACCAGAGTAGGAGCTTAAACCCCTCCCATCTCACCTGGAGTATGCATTTCTCCGGGAGGGGAATAAGCTCCCGGTTATTATTAGCTCTAATCTAACACCCGAGCAGAAGAGCAGGCTGGTGGCTCTGCTGCAGAAGTATGCCCGGGCCATGGCATGGAAGATCACAGACATCAGAGGCATTAGCCCATCCTTCTGCTCCCACATAATTTTGATGGAAGATGAGGTTAAGCCAGTCAGGCAGCCACAGAGGAGATTGTCTCCTAACTTGGAGGCAGTGGTCCGGGCAGAGATTGTGAAGCTCATGGATGCAGGGATCATCTTTGCTATATCTGATAGCAAGTGGGTCAGCCCCACTCAGGTGGTCCCGAAGAAAGGCGGGATGACTGTGGTCCCGAATGAGAAGAAGGAGTTGATCCCGATGCGGACCGTGACTGGCTGGAGAGTCTGCATCGATTACCGGCGCCTGAACGATGCCACTAGGAAAGATCATTTTCCCCTACCTTTCATCGATCAGATGCTGGAGAGGTTGGCTGGCCATGAGTTTTATTGCTTCCTGGATGGCATGTCTGGTTACTTCCAGATTCCTATTGCACCGGAGGATCAGGCGAAGACCACATTCACTTGCCCCTTCGGTACCTTTGCTTACCGGAGGATTCCATTTGGGCTGTGTAATGCACCGGCGACCTTCCAGAGATGCATGCTGGCGATCTTCGACCGACTGGTTGGAGAGATCATGGAAGTCTTCATGGATGATTTCTCGGTATATGGAGACTCCTTCACTCACTGTCTCCATAAACTGGAACTCGTTCTGAAGAGGTGCGAGGAGACTAATCTGGCACTCAGCTGGGAGAAGTGCCATTTTATGGTTCGTGAAGGTATTGTGCTCGGGCACAAGATCTCCAAGCAGGGGATTGAGGTGGATCGCGCGAAGATTGAGACGATCAGTCAGCTACCTCCTCTTGTTTCTGTGAAGGGGATTCGCAGCTTTCTGGGTCATGCAGGCTTTTACCGACGCTTCATCAAAGATTTCTCGAAGATTGCCCTGCCTTTGACCAAGCTGCTGGAGAAGGATGCACCATTCCAGTTCACTCCCGATGCACAGCTGCATTTGAGACTCTGAAGGAGAAGCTTACCCATGCACCTATCATGGTGACTCCTGACTGGTCTCTTCCGTTATTGTCAGAGGTTAGCAAGTATCAACAACTATCCCATCCTAGGCCAAGTTTAACCTAGAACGACATTGCCGTATAGTGGTAATCAAGGTCGTATTCTACACGAGTCCTGGTACCCTAGCTACTTCCCACGTAGTTGCTAAAAGCACTTGCTTTGGGGAACTATCCCTCCCCCTAGCTTAGGGTTACTATGTGTATCTAGATACTTAGGGTCATCAAATACGGTGAGTGAGCTCTTTTCCATGGGGCTTTTCGTGGTTATCCACACGCCTCCGAGTACGCCTTCCTTAAACCCATGTTCCAGTCACCTCGATCTAGGCTATCCTATCTGGGGCATTAAGCTTATGGCCCATTTTAATGGACACTATCCACCATCCACACAGAGGTTTCATCTCGGGTTCCATCTAGGAAGGCTACCTATAGTAGGGGTTCAGTCGCCTCGACCACTATAGACCCCCGTTCATACATCTAACCTAAACTCGCCAGATGGCGCATACCCTTCTTACCCTAGAACTCCATACACAACGCGGTAGCATAAAGTAGGCTAAGAGGGGCAACTTACCCAAGTGTCATCATTTAGGAAAGAGTGAGATTAAAATCAACTAGACAAACACATTCATTCATTCAAACACTAAAATATCCATACATACATAGTAAACCCTAAAAGTGGGGTTTGGGGTTTAGAACTCCTAGTACCTTAGAGGACTACTCCATAAAGGAGGGAAGAAGATACATGGTAGAAATAGAAGAAGACTTGAGGTTGAAGAAGATGCCTCCTTCCTTCAACTTCTCTCTCTTCTCTCTCTCTCTCTCTCTCTCTCTCTCTGGAACCAGAAAGTTTCTCTTAAAATCAGCTCACTTTAAAAGGGGAAAGGGGACTTGTATTTATAGGAATTTTGGATTTGAGAAAGTTCAAGGCCTGAGGTAAGGAGATCGCGGGCGGTATCTTTGGTCTCTGGGCCGTGATCTCAAAATGCATATGTCGAGGCCTTCGAGAAGGGGAAGATCGCGGTCGTGATTCACGAGTCGCGACCGCGATCTTCCTCGCGAGCAAATAGAACGGTGGTCGTGACTTGAATGAGGAGACTCTATTTTTCTCCAAGGCTCCTTCCTCGCGAATTTCGCATCCTGAGCCTCCAAGATCGCGGTCTCGATCTATGACTTCTGGGCCATGATCTTCAACTGTACATCGCGGCCTGGATCCCGACCGTGATCTTTGGCTTCTAGGCCACGATCTTCAATTCCTGCCCCTTCTCTACACTTGTGACTAGGGGTGGCTATACGGTCCGGTCCGGTTAAATTGGCCCAAATTGATCCGGTCCAGTCCGTTTTTTTTGAAAATATAAGGACCGAAGATTGGATTGGATACAGTCCGGTCTTGATCCGGTCCGGTCTTGACCCGGTCCGGTCCCAATTCGGTCTTGATTTTATATTGAGATTGTGGGAATTTGAGTGGCCTAAGGCCTAAAAGGGTGAGGAGTTGGTTAAGTTTTGCACTAAGTGCAAAGGTTTGTGACCGTTTATGCAAATTACCCTTAAGTTTTGGGTGTTGAGCTCTTTTATCCGGTCTTTATCCGGTTTTTTACCTCAAATCTAAGCCCAAAGATTGGATTGGATTGTTTTCTATCTGGTCCGGTCCGGTCTCGGTCCGGGTTATACGGTCCGGTTTCCGGTTTTTCATCCGGTCCCGGTCCAAATAGCCAGCCCTACTTGTGACCTTGTTTTGTACCTAATTCGCATATATCGACTAATACACCCTTAAATCACATCGAAATCAAATAGGAACACAATAGGGATGTATTTGACGATAATCAAGCATTTATGCACATGAATTGGCACAGAACACACCTCGATATGTAGGGTAAATATTATAAATTTTGGTGTTATCACCTGCCGCTAGTTCAAGAAAGCAATGCGAGCGCGACTACCTGCAAAGGAGAACGTGGACCAGGTTATCATCACAGAAGGGCCAAAGAGCGACAAAGAAGAAGAAATGGGTGATTCTAATCATCAAGTTTCTACAAACAACTTCGAGGTGAAGACTTCATTTATTCATATGCAGAAGTCATCGGTGGTTTTCAATGGGCCTTTAGGCTAGTGCCCACGCAAGCACATGCAGTGATTCAACAAGCTCATTGAGGGGATTAAAATCAATGGTGTACCTCAAGGAGAAAGTCGGCTTCGCTAATTTTCATTCTCCCTAGAGGAAAAGGCCAATATCGTGGTTTGATAACCGTGCACCAACATCGATCACATCTTTGACCGATTTGGTGAACAAAATCATCGAACGCTACCATGCATGTATTATCAACAATGCATTGTTTTTTTATTTCATGCACAAACAATACATGCATTGTTTGCTTGATTTGACACAGATTATCACTTAAAATGAGTGATAGTTACATCTCAAGTTTTTGTTGAGATTGTTGAGATTGTTTGATTGAGATTGTTGTGTGTTGTTTTTCTTCCAACTATGTGCCCACCTTTTAATGTGTGTTGGTTTTTTACATCAAAACCAAAGGGTAAAAGTGATATTTCATCCAAAAATAATATAACTTATTTAAATAACATAATAACTATCACAAAATTCATACCTAAAAACTTATTAGGGTCAATTATTTCTTATATTAATTGACCAGAACATATGTCTACTATAGCAATAAGTTTTTCCCCTGTAGTCAACTATATTTGCGTAATACAAGTACATTACATAACTATTAGCTACAATGTTTATAGAGCTTCAATTATTAAAAATTTAATCATAGATGATATTATTCGTAACTTATGGAAGTATCTTATCCAACTATTTTTGAACTATTTGATTTCAACTAAATTATTAAATTAATTAATGTGATTCAAAATAAAATTAGTTTCTCACTGCAGCAAAGCGCGGACCAAAAATCTAGAATAATTAACCCGCAATCAAATTCGAGACCATGTGCACTTAATAACCGTCACATTGAAGCTAGAGAAATTTGAGCAGGGCCAGATAGCAGAATTACTATAACATATATTCCATTCCTCAAAACAACAACAATAATAATAAAGAAAGCAGACACAAAATTTCCGAAAGGGCAAAAGGCTAGACAATAGCAAACTAGAAAATAAGTAATCACAACATAGAACAACCTAGGTAATTAATAAGTTTTTTGGAATGTTAATGCTGCACATCGCAGGTGATTGAGATGGGCAAGCTTCCAGAGAGCCCACCGGCAGCGGTAGACTGGGGATCCGGAAACCCGATCCTAACCGGGTTGCAATCAGCCACCAGCTTCGTCTGCTTCTTCTCCGTGTCGATCCGGACGGAAGCCACTACCCGAACTCCGAAGTCCGCGGACCCGGCAGCCACCATGTCGCTGAGAATGGACCCCACAACCTGGACACTGCTACTCGCTTCCGGCTTGGAGTCCAGGCGCAGGTTGAAGGTGGAATATTCCCCCTTCTCCTCGAAAGGCGCCGGCAAATTCGCAGCAGCCATCTCCAGCTGCCCGCGCCCGCTGCCGCTGTCGAAGAGGACGGAGGCCCGGAAAGAGTCGTAGTGGACAACGGCGGCCTCGGGGAACGCCACCTGGAGGGTTAGGTGCCAGACGGAGGAGCTGATGGTGAGGTTGGACGTGGCGGAGACGCTGGCGGCAGTGAGTTGGACTTGTGGCGAAGGTGGCGGTTGGGGCTTCAATATAAAAATGGCCGCTGGGATGGTGGCTGCTTCGATGAAGAGGAGGCATACCATGCAGCAGCATACGTCCTTGCGTCGATCATCCAGCGCTTGCGCTCCGCTATTATTGCTCATATCTTCTTCTACTTAATTTTCGAAATAGATAGATTAATTTGTTGGAGGCTGCTGGGCCACTGCCCGCGACTGCGTATTTATATACTACTGCATGCTGTAAAATAAGTAGAACGCGGAAAAACAAAACGACACGAACGATTTACGTGGTATCCCCGTTCTATACGAACGGGACTAATCCACGGAGAAGCTCCTATCTTCTTCTACTTAATTTTCGAAATAGATAGATTAATTTGTTGGAGGCTGCTGGGCCACTTCTACTGCCCGCGACTGCGTATTTATATACTACTGCATGCTGTAAAATAAGTAGAACGCGGAAAAACAAAACGACACGAACGATTTACGTGGTATCCCCGTTCTATACGAACGGGACTAATCCACGGAGAAGCTCCACAAGAGCTTCTCGGCTGAACTTTTATTATTCAACTTGTACCAAACTTACAACAGCAGCCGCAGGCAAGGAGAACATATATATACCTCCTCCCCTAACCCTTACGTCAATTCCACTTAGGGTTTGGCTTAGGCAAACTTCACTTTACTACTATTAATAACAACTAACGACAACTAAGTCCACCACGAAGTCGTCAAATAAACCGCAACACTCCCCCTCAAGCTGAGGCGTGAATGTCGTGAATGCCTAGCTTGGAAGCAAGGTAAGTAAACTGCTCACTACCCAAACCTTTCGTGAAAACATCGGCGACTTGATCATTTGACGAAATCTTCTTAGGCTCGATGTCTTTAGATACCACACGCTCTCGCACAAAATAACAATCCATTTCCACATGCTTCGTGCGCTAACCCTAACTCCTGCAACAACCAACGTAACCAAATTAATTCACTCACTGTAACTGCCATCGACCTATACTCAGCTTCAGCCGACGAACGTGCTACCACCGACTGCTTCTTGGTTCGCCAAGATATGGGACTATGTCCAAGCTGAATAAAATACCCTGAAGTTGAACGACGAGTCTCCTGGCAACCACCCCAATCTGCATCGCAGTAAGCAGTTAAAATTGGAATACTGTCAGATGGGAGAAACAAACCACGCCCAGGAGCATGTTTCAAATAACGAAGAATCCGATATGCAGCCTCCACGTGCTGCTGTCTAGGCGAGTGTACAGCCTGACTCAGTACATTAACCGCATACGTGATATCAGGTCGAGTGACCGTAAGGTATAACAGTCTCCCAACTAATCGTCTGTATGCCGATGGGTCATGTGCTGCCGGACCCTCTACACGAGTCAGATGATGATTTTGTTCAATGGGAAAAGAACAAGGCTTGACCCCAAGCGCACCTGCATCATTGAGAATGTCCAATGTATAGTTCCTCTGTGACAAGGAGATCCCATGGCGTGACCTCGCAACCTCGATACCCAGAAAGTATTTCAAAGGACCTAAATCTTTGATGCTGAATTCTTTCTTCAAGAACCCTTTGACACGTTCAATGACTTCCCAACTATCTCCCCCTAGCACGATATCATCGACATAGATGAGAGCAAAAACAAACACTCCATTCTTCCGATATAAGAATAAAGAGTGGTCAGCCCGAGAACAACTGAAACCAAAGGATAAAAGGGACATGGTGAACTTTTTATACCAATTTCGTGATGCCTGACGTAATCCATACAACGATTTGCGAAGACGACATACTCGTGAGTCCCCCGGTCGAGCAAAACCATCAGGAACTCGCATATAAACTTCTTCATCAAGATCGCCGTGAAGAAAAGCATTGTTCACGTCCAATTGATGAAGAAACCAACCGCGTTGTGCCGCAAGAGCTAAGACACAACGAACTGTAACTAACTTTGCAACAGGCGCAAAAGTCTCATGAAAATCAATCCCTTCCTTCTGCGTGTACCCCTGTGCGACAAGGCGCGCTTTGAACCTTTCAATGCTGCCATCGTGACGATATTTAATCTTAAACACCCACTTCGAACCAACCAGTTTCTTGCCGGGTGGCAAGTGTTGTAAATCCCAGGTACCATTGGCAACGAGAGCATCAAACTCCTGCTGCATAGCTTCTCTCCAGCATGCATGAATAACAGCTTCAGAGAATGTGCGAGGCTCTACGTGACGAGTAAGAGCAGCCGCAAATGCACGATAACTTGGGGATAAACGGTCATAACTTAGCACATCATGTAAGGGGTATTTCACACATGAATTTGCCGAGGGTAACGTGACCTCATAAAGATCAAGATGACGGGGTACCTGGCGGAGACGGTCACTACGACGCAACTCAACAACTGGGGCTGGGGAATCCTGCGGCGAGGATGTAGTGGACGAGGATGTAGTGGATGGTGAAGGAGAAGAATCATCCGCGATTGGGGATGATGAACTAGAAGGCGGGCCAGGAGACGAGTTAGAGGACTCGCTGGCAGGTTGCGAGGAAGAAGCAGGAGTGGATTCCTCCTCTGTGTTCACCACATCAACAAAGGGAACCAGCTCGTCCACGGCCCGGTCATGAGAACGATCATCAAATGAGAAACAAGGACTAGAGTCCAAATGAATTGGCGGTGAAGCCCCAGTACAAGCACCGTCCAAATTTTTGAAAGGATATTTATCCTCACAAAATACTACATCACGAGATGTGAACATGGAGTGAGTAGTCAAATCAAAAACTCGATAACCTTTTTGAGCAGCCGGATAACCGAGAAAAACACATTCTCTCCCCCTTGCAGCAAACTTGTCGAGAGAAGAACGAGTGTCTTTAGCATACGCTAAGCACCCAAAAGTCCGAAGATGATTATACGTGGGTTTCTTGCCGAAAAGACGCTCAAATGGAGTATCATTTGCAGTCACCGAAGAAGGGAGCCGATTGATGAGGTAAGCTGCTGTAAGAACACATTCCCCCCAGAATTTGATCGGCAGGGAGGCATGAAAACGTAGAGAGCGAGCTGTCTCTAATAAATGCCGATGCTTCCTCTCGACGACCCCGTTCTGTTGCGGTGTATCAGTACACGAGGTTTGTAACACAATCCCCTCACTCTCGTAGTACTGTTTAAGAACATTAGTTTGAAACTCCATACCATTATCGGCCTGTATACGAACAACAGAAGAACTATACTGACGTTTAGCCTGTTGACAAAACATCATCAAATAACCAGCAACCTCTGACTTATATCGAAGAAGATATACCCAAACAGCACGCGAAAAATCATCCACCAGAGTAAGAAAATAATGCGCACCACTCAATGACGGGTCCTTATAGCCACCCCAAATATCAACATGAATCAACTCAAAAGGACGAGAAGTCTTAATAGAACTGGACGGGAAAGGACTACGTGTCTGTTTAGCTCGTAAACAAGAAGAGCAACGGTCCAGACCAGACTGTTTAGAAACCGAAACAAAAGGCAATAATGACAACTTCTCCATGGACGGATGACCTAAGCGAGCATGCCACAACGGAGCTGATAAACGATCCTCTCTAGTTGCGGCATGAACAGCAGCTTCCCTTACGTCATCAAATAAGCGGAGATAGTATAACCCGTCACGTTGTTGGCCCATCCCAATCATCTTCTTGCAACGCAAGTCCTGTAGAACACAAAAATTATGAAGGAAGATCAGAGCGATGGGAAACTCCTGTGTGAGCCGACTGATCGACAATAGATTACACTTGAACTCGGGAACCAGTAAAACACGAGGCAAAACCATCCCGTTACTCATGCACACAGACCCAACTTGAGCAACATTAACCGAGACCCCATTAGGAATCCCAACCTGCAGATCAGACGGTTGATAACCATGAGAAAGGAGAGACACATCATGTACGATGTGTTCATTACATCCCGAATCCAATACCCACGAAGAAGAACAAGAGAAAGTACCCGTAAGCTTGGTTGCCGAAGCTTCCGGCGAGAATGAGGAACCAGCCAAGAACTCCTTGAGTTGCGCTAGCTGTGACATGCTTAGTCCAGCTACGGGACTCTCACCAACCTCAACAGCTGCTGCCTTAGGAGTGGACTTCAGTCGCTCCGACCCTTTCTTCCTCCCCGGCCATCAGGTTTAGAAGGCGGACGATCCGGCCAGCCAATGAGATCGAAACACCGATCCTTGAGAAGGCCAATTTTCCCACAATGGGTACACTTGTGACGACCACGACCATCCGAAGAGGACTCCTCAGAAGGCATATCATCACGAACAAGAAACGCAGCAGCTTCAGAACTAGGACGATTGCGAACCGCAAGACGACGTTGATGAGCGTCATTTGAAACAAGTTGGTAGGCTTCCGATAGGGTGGGCAGTGTTGTCATGGAAAGAACTTGAGTTTTTACAGTGGAAAAAGTCTCATCAAGCCCCATCAGGAAGTCATAGAGGCGAAACTTCTCCTCCCTCTCCTGGTTTTTACGGTCGGCGCCACAAGAACAGTTTCCACATGTACAGGAGTGGAGCGGAGCCATGGACAACACTTCATCCCATAGATTACGTAGGTGAGTATAAAAAGCAGGGACAGTTAACTTCTCTTGAGGTAGACGACTGATGCGACAACGAAGTTCGTACACCCGCGGAGCACTACTCTGAGCAAAACGTTCCTTCAAATCCACCCAAACTTCTCTGGCGGTCTGAGCATAACGAGCGCCCCGACGAACTTGTTTATCCATGGCCGAGGTCAACCACCCTTTCACCATGGCATCGGCACGACGCCAACTTCGCAGCTCGAGGGGATCGGCGGGTGCCCGGAAAGAACCATCAACGAACCCTAGCTTATTCTTGGCAAGCAAGGCGTTGGTCATATCATGAACCCAATCAGTATAATTAACCTCGTTCAACAACTCACCAACATATACCTGATTAGGGTTATCAGACTGACTGATGAAATACGGTGAGGTGAGATCGCTGTCAAGCTTCGAAGAACCACCAGACGACCCGACGAGTACCTTGCCGGACGCGGTCTCCTGCTTCTCATCGTCACTCATCATGAACTAACAGATTGACGATCGTGATAGCTCTGATACCATGTAAAATAAGTAGAACGCGGAAAAACAAAACGACACGAACGATTTACGTGGTATCCCCGTTCTATACGAACAGGACTAATCCACGGAGAAGCTCC